ACTGATAGCGCCTGCAGATCTCCCATACGCTTTGCTGATGCTAATGCTAGAAGCAGAGCAGTCTTAAACATCAGGGGACGAAGGTCAATGGACTGTAGCGGCTCTTAAGAGCCCTCAACACCGTGGGCAGGTCCCATGTAGGGACGGTAACAGGGCGAGGCAGGTTGAGCCTCCTAGACCCTTTCAAAAAGCGAACAACTAGGTTGTTCCTGCCCACTGACTGGCCAGGTATAGGAGCGTGGGAGGCTGCTCTGGCTGCTACATAGACCTTGAGTGTGGAAGGGGAACAACCCTTATCTCACAGCTCCTGCAGGAAGGACAATATCAGAGATATGTCGCAGGAAATTGGGTATGCGCCGTGGGACACACACACCAATTTGAAGTTGTCAGTGACAGCGTTCCGCTTCGATCAACCTAGGAAAATAGAGCCGCTCAATGTAAAGAGGGGCGCTGATCTTCATGTGCAAGGCGCGGATCGAAGTGCAGTAGGGAAAGCGAGCACGCAGGCTCTGTGTCGGCGTGATATCGCTCAGACCCGGCTGCTTAGCTCCCAGACTTCGCTGTTTCTCTCTCCGAGGCTCGCTGAGAGAGGAGAAACGGGAGAGCGGGGCTGCCTCATTGAAGGTGGTCTGCAAGCGGAGAAGAGTGAGATTCATGCTTTGAGTGAGCATTCTGTCTCAGTGAGCGCACAGCTCACTGCCCTTCTGCAGCGGATCAAAGTGCAGCGGGGAGTGCGAGCACGCGGGAACAGTGCCGGCATGCGAACGCTCAGACCGGTTGCTTAGTTCTCTGACTCTGCTGTTTCTCTCTCCGAGGCTCGCTGAGAGAGGAGAAACGGGAGAGCAGGGCTGTCTTCAATGAAGGTGGTCTGCGAGTGGAGAAGAGCGAGACTCATGCTCTGAGTGAGCATTCTATCACAGTGAGCGTGCAGCTCAATGCCCTTCTGCAGCGGATCAAAGCGCAGCGGGGAGAGTGAGACGCACTCACTGCTCTTGTGCATCCTGCAAGATTCCGTGCACGAGCCACAATCGCAGCGCGATATTTGCAACAATGTTGCTAGAAATTTTGCTCTTTTAGAACTTACCTAGAAATAAGCTATTTTAGGCTCACCGGATGGCGGCAGGGGATCAGCTGGTACCGCTGCTGCTGCGACGCTCAAGGTGGCGAATCAGCCGAGCAGAGGGTCACTGGTTCAGCTTGATCCACTGCGAAGGTGATTCTACGGCGAGAGGCTTCGAGTCTCGTAGATCAGCGATGAACTAGTCGTCACTGAAGGAGAAGAAATCTCAGGATTCTGTGGCGATGTGCTGCTTATATAGCCAGATGACCCTGCCCATTCTGGCGCTCCACTGCCGAGTCATTGGTTCGTTTTTAATACACTGCACGAACCAAGTTACACTGCATTTTTAAAAGGTTTAAAGTTTTTTTAAGAGTTTTTCCCAAAGCGTCTTATACAGACGCAGTACGAGTGAAGTATTGTTCAGTCTTGTTTAAATTGAACTATTTATCTTACAGGTCATTCATGAATTTCTAATTGACTTCATATAAACTTCAGGATTTTAAGTATTTACTTTTAGAAAAGATAGTTTCCACAGTGGTCATTAACTATTGAATAAATAACACACATTTATGTATGTCTGTGATCACTTGGGTAGAAATTCAGTTTGTATGGAGTGATTCTGGTTTGCAGGAAACAAATCAATGTCCACTAGCATTAATTCAACCGCATACTTAAGTCAAGAAAATATCTAAATGCGTTTTATAGGGCAAACTGTCATCTGTATTGACAGCAGAGGTCTTTATCTGCAACAGCAGCAAAGCGTTTAGCATAACCCTGAGAGGAGCATTTGTTTGGACCCTCTCTCTGCCCAGTTTGGCCACTGGTGCTTTGGCGTGGTGAAGTTGTTCGCTTCTGGCATTACTCCAGGCCACTGCTTTGTAAGGTCTCCAGCTCCTGTGGTGATTTCACTGTCCAGTGAGCTATGAAAGCTTTTTATAAGTACATCAGCACAACTGCATTAATCGGCAGCCATATTGATTCAGCATTTGTGTGTAAGACAGAGAGAAGAGGAACATTAATGGATATATTTATAATGAAGTACCTCTCAACCTAGTGCTTAAGTCACAAATGGGGCATAAAGTTTTGCGAGTCTCACCCAAACACAAAATAAAAATACTGACCCTTATGTTTTCCTCATTTCCTCTGGGGTAAATGTAAAGTGCCAATGGAATTAAATTGACATGATCGTTTATAGTCCACTTAAAAATCAGTAGAGACAACTGTTAAATGCCTCCCTTTTGAATTTTAGAATTTTTAATGAAAAAAAGAAAAGAAATGTTCAACGTGTTTCTCATAAACCATCTCAAAACCATTCATGCAAATTTTTATTATTTCACACAGACACACACACACACACACTCTGTGTGTGTGGGTGTGTGGGTGAAATAATAGGAATTTGGATGCATGGTTTTGAATGTACGTGTGTGTGTGTGTGTGTGTTCATTTATCATCCTGAAAAGGAAGGTACATTTAAAAGTTTGGATTTTTTTCCTTATTAGAAATTGGAGCAATTTCATATATTAGCATATATCTAGCCCATAGTAATTAGTATTTTTATGTAATACATTTCTGACATATATGTCAAGCATATGTATTTCCATCCTAAAACCGGTCAATACAAGGTGATATTATACTGGTAAATATAAAATATTGACTTTTGTGTGTGTGTGTGAGTCAGACTCTGTTCCTTGTTTTGTGTGTATTTTGCTCCCATGTGCCTTCCTTGCCCTTTTTTGGTCCTTCCTGTTTCCTGTTCCTATTATGTTCAGCTGTGTCATTAATTATCTTAATTTGCTCCTGCGTATTTAAAGTGTGTTCTGCCCCTCGTTTCCAGTCCAGTATTGTGAATGTCAACCTCCTAAGCTATGTGTGTTTTCCTGGTTACCTTGATTTCATTAAATTCTCCATGTTGATGTTCTCCACGTCTCCTCGTTACTCGCTCCGCGCTCCAGCACAGTAGCCGATCCGTGACAGAATACCGGACCGCAAACAGAAAGTGAGCGGAGCCTCTTCTCCGCAAATTTACTCCCCGCGATTATGGAAATCGCTGAACCCTTCATCACATATCCCCTTCTTAGAGTATGCCTGGGAGTTCTGTGGGCTCGCCGCGGCAAAGGCATTAGATGACACCACCATCAACTCTTTGTTCTGGCATGGGGCCAATTACCATCGCCCCATGGACCTCACAGACACCACGGGACTGAGCTGGAGGGAAGGGATCCTCCGGTGTCTGCCGTGGCATTCCCAAGCCCTCCGGCCGTGGCATTCTCAAGCCCGCCGGCTGCTCCAGTGTCAAGTCCGCCGACCACGCCTTTCACCCCGAACCTAAAGGGTAATCTAAGGAGGAGAAGGCGGTTGGCTCCAGCCCAAGAGCTCGCTCCAGTGTCGGCTCCAGCCCCAGAGCTCGCTCCATTGTCGCCTCCAAGCCCCGGATCCAGCCAAAAGAGGGCTCCTGTCCCCGAGTTTAGCCCAGTGAGGGCTCCTGTCCCTGAGTTTAGCCCAGTTAGGGCTCCAGTTCCCATGTCGAACCCAAGGAGAGCTCCAGTCCCCAAGTCAAGCCCAGGGAGGGCCAATGTTCCTGAGTTAGGCCTACGGAGGGCCTCTAAAGACGATATTCTCCCCAAGGATTTTATTTTTTGGGGAGGGGGTAGTATGGTCCATCCGTAGTGGCCGGGTGGGTGCGGCCATGGCGTCCTGAGTTCCCAGCTGTAGTGGCTGGGCAGAGTGGCGAGGCCAAGGCCATGGAGGCCATCCAGCCATGGCCTTCTGAGTTCCCTGCTCCGCCGTGGCCTCCTGAACTGTCTGATCCGCCATGGCCTTCTGAGCTGCATGCTCCGTCATGGCCTCCTGAACTGCCTGCTCCCCCATGGCTTCCTGGTCTGCCTGCTTCGCCATGGCGCCCCGAGCTCCCTGCTCCGCCATGGCGCCCCGAGCTCCCTGCACCTCCATGGCCTCTGAGCTCCATGTGCCGCCATGGCACAATAGACTGCCTGATCCACCCTGGAGGTATTCCCCGTGTCCCAGTCCTGCACCAGCCTCCAGGGCGCCCACCCCCCATCATGTTCCCTGATTAGTTAATTATCTTCAGCTGTGTCCTTAATTATCTTCATTTGCTCCTGTGTATTTAAAGCGTGTTCTGCCCCTCGTTTCCCGTCCGGTATTGTGAATGTCAACCTCCTAAGCTACGTGTGTTTTCCTGGTTACCTTGATTTCATTAAATTCTCCATGTTGATGTTCTCCACGTCTCCTCGTTACTCGCTCCGCGCTCCAGCACAGTAGCCGATCCGTGACAGAATACCGGACCGCAAACAGAAAGTGAGCGGAGCCCAGTCCTGCACCAGCCTCCAGGGCGCCCACCCCCCATCATGTTCCCTGATTAGTTAATTATCTTCAGCTGTGTCCTTAATTATCTTCATTTGCTCCTGTGTATTTAAAGCGTGTTCTGCCCCTCGTTTCCCGTCCGGTATTGTGAATGTCAACCTCCTAAGCTACGTGTGTTTTCCTGGTTACCTTGATTTCATTAAATTCTCCTTGTTGATGTTCTCCACGTCTCCTCGCTTCGCACTCCAGCACAGTTGCAAACATGACAGTGTGTGTGTGTGTGTCATATATATATATATATATATATATATATATATATATATATATATATCTTATATTTAGATATTACTAGAAATATTTTGTTTTGAATAAAAATACAGTAAATTGTTCATGTTAGTGTGTTGAATATTGTTTATGTAAATAGATTGCATTTTTTGACGTGTTTAAAGAGCTGTAAGAAGAGCCATCTTTTTAAGTTTCTTTTTTAGGTCTTTTAAAGGTTAAAGTGCATCCTTAACCCTGTGTAGTCACATTTTTGGAGAAAGATTAATATAAATGTTAAATGTATAGATATTAATTGATATTAAAACTTTACCTTTACCATTAACAGAGGTGAATAACTGTGTTCTGAATGGAGTCAGCACTGCCTTGAGTGAGTCCTCCTCTATCTGCAGTGATTTAAAGGAAGTATCTGAGATTGAAGTCATGAACTCCATCAGCTGCACATTTGATGATCCATTTGACTTCACTGAAGAGTCTTGGTATCACGTGAGTAGCGTGCTCAACATGTCTATGTGGCAAATAAGTTAAGTTTTTATGTGTTTGTAGATTACTTTAATGAAATAAAGTGTCAGTATAGTTGACTATAATAGCACAACAATTCTACAAATAACAAGTGCCACAACAACAGCAACAACAACACTTTCCTATAAGCATCCGTTGGTCGCTGTGCATGGAAAAACTTTCCCGATTCACGAGGTCATCACATGCAATGATACAAATTGAGGTAATTTTGATGTGCTGTAAAATTTAATCAGTTTTAAAATGTTGCATATTTATGTCGCTAGAGAGAAATGAAATTAGCTTGAATAAATTTATATTAATTTATTCAATATAGCCTAATTTCAGGGATTCTCATTGCTCGATTGACAGAGAAAGATGCAGAATGCATGAACTACAAAAAAAATGATGAAATACGTCTACACTACAAGCTGTCTGTTCACTTAAAGCAGGAAAAGTTTGAACATGACACTTGCCAACTGCCAAATGCGATTGAAAATTACAGGAAATCTACTCTATTCCTGAACTGATTTTCAAATTAGTGTTTCCTGATGTAAAAAAAAAAACTTGCAAAGTACACATTATTTATTAGTAGGCTATAAATAACATTGTTTTTGAATTATAACCTAACTTCAGTTTAATTCTGTCTGTTTATTTTACTTTCGAATTTTTCTACAGTACTAGCACAGAAGTAAGCACATTGTGCTCATGGGGGCACTTATCCCCGAATCCTAAATATTAACTCAAACCAAGCGCTATTTAACAGAGATGCATGATGCAATAAACGGATGTTCGCGGAATGTATTTTTTTTCCTTTGAACCTGTTGGCGACTCCATCTTTACACACACGCGAAAGCCCCTCCGGCGCGTAATGATGCGCTCCGGCGCTTGGAGACGCACAGGTATTCCTCCAGGGATAATTAGTCAGGGACAAATCAGAAGTTTCTGTGGAGATGCGTTCTGTTGTGCGTGAAGCAAAGCTTTGCGCTTCCCAGTCAACGTTGCCAAAATCAGACAGACGGATGGATTTCATGCTTTGCGAGTTAAATGGATAAACAGAGGGAAAGATGGATGGTGGCGTCTCTGTAGGGTGACATCAGAAACGGGCATGCCACCAGAAGCGGTGAAAAAACACAATTTTCCTGGAACGCCGAGAAAGTGTTGCTGTATTTGACTGTTTTTGTGTTTTTCTTTAAGTGTGACAGCATGCTGCAGACAAGTGGCAACAAGATACATGTGAGTATGCTTTTGATTTCTCAAGATTAGTACTACTAGAATACTAGCTGCAATACTCAAACAGGTTAGCATTAGTTCTACAGCCAGTAACTTGAATGAAGGATAAACCAGAAATAATGGCATCAATGAAAAGTGGCTATTGCCTTCACACTTTCAATCTACATTGAAGTGTATTGAGAGCAGCCAAATTAAGAAGCAATAGTCTGACCTACATCTATCCTCACCATACTCCCTCCCCCCTTTCTCCTGAGTTGAATTTGATATGCACACACACTGCTGATGAACAGTGAGCCTGGGTACATTGTATTCTCCTCTCACCTGTTCAGGTGGCCAATAACATGATGGACATGGACCAGGACTCTCGCAAACGGCTGTGCTTTGCTGACGGCCGAAGGAAAGTGGACTATGTGCTGGTGTACCACTATCGAAAACGCTCCTCCGTCAGGGGGTCTCCTAGTCAACACAGACTGTCCATCATCTCCAATGGTAGTTATCCTTTAGGAGTGGAGGAGAAAGACCAAGAGGGAGGGAAGGATGAACCTGCAGAGGTGGTGGTGGACGTCGGACCCCCGGACCCCGCCGATGGGGAGAAAATCATGATCCGAGAGGAGTTTGAGGGTAATTTAAAGGACGCTGGGCTGGAAATTGAGCATGATAAAGAGGTGAGTAGAAGCTGACTAGATCTTATTTGTGCTGGTGCTCCTTTGTAAGAGCCACATCTGGTGTTGATTTTACAGAAAGCTGTCACTTTAGATCAGTTGAGTCGTGCCTTGTCAAAAACAATATCAGTCATGTGACCACTTCTATTCATATTCTAGAAATTTTAGGAAATAAGATCTTGACCATGAAAATTGACTCCAGTTCGGTTTTCATAAAGACTGTTTCCTTAATAGTGTATGTGTGTGGGTGTGTGTGTGTGTGTGTGAATTGTGAGCTAGTCGGTCTTTCCAAGTCTTACTACGCAGCTTAGTATTGGATAGAGTTACCATTTCACAGGGCATCTGACCAATTTGGGAATTATCCATGTATCATTGTTTTGTTATGTAAGCCATTACTCTTAAAGATGGCCCATTATGGAGTAATTGGACTGTATTTGTATGGTATTATTAATGGTCCCAAATAAACTCTTCTTCATCTGTTGCTAGTAAGCTTGTTTTTATATCATATCTGGGGAATCAGGTGAACTCTCCTTACTTAAAAAGCTAATTGACATGCTTTCTTGTCTAATGAAAAACTCTCTTGTAGATAATAGCAGAAAACGCGTTGTTATTGTGCATCTCTGTCTTTGTGATCATTTTGCACTGCATCTGTAGGGTCATTAGACTGTGAATGCTTGTGGTGTGAAGCCAAGTAAGATTATCAGGGTGGTAATAGTAGTGATTGTCTCCTCTCTCTCAGAAGAGCTGTGAACCTTTGACAGCACACTGAGTTAACTGTACTCTAGCCTGAAAGGGACCAAATTTCTTCTCCAAATTTAACGCTTTGCTATTTGTCGTTGTTGTAAATGATAGATACCCCTTTTCAACTCGGACATAATCATCTGAGTCTGAGGTGTTTTTTTTTATCATGCATCGTGCATTTAAAAACACAGAGATATTAAACAATGCACTCCATAGCATCGTTTCCCCATGGGAAGCCTAGTAAGGTGACAAAATGTGCATGCAGTGACAAGCTTTGTCATGATGGCTTTCAACATCATCATCATTCAACAGTCTTCTCTTTGCTCTGACATGCACTGTGAGCTGTAAGGTCTTATATAGACAGATGTGTGGCTTTCCTAATCAAGTCCAATCAGTATAATCAAACACAGCTGGACTCAAATGAAGGTGTAGAACCATCTCAAGGATGATCAGAAGAAATGGACAGCACCTGAGTTAAATATATGAGTGTCACAGCAAAGGGTCTGAATACTTAGGACCATGTGATATTTCAGTTTTTCTTTTTTAATAAATCTGCAAAAATGTCAACAATTCTGTGTTTTTCTGTCAATATGGGGTGCTGTGTGTACATTAATGAGGAAAAAAAATAACTTAAATGATTTTAGCAAATGGCTGCAATATAACAAAGAGTGAAAAATTTAAGGGGGTCTGAATACTTTCCGTACCCACTGTATATATATATCAGTCTTGATATAGAGCAATATATGTTACATATATTATTTATGCATGAGTAGCTCCATGTATAGAACAATAGCTCCATGTATGTATTCTGGGGAAATTCTATTCACTTTTATTTCTGAGTTACTTTACTATTTATTTTTTATCACCATATGAATGGCACTTCTTCCTGTAACACACACACAGTTTTGTCCTTGCGACAAGGAACATAAAAGTATCTGCTATACTAAGCTATGCTGGCTGCAGTGGCAGGCTGCAGGGGGCACATTAGGAAGCTTTGACATTATCAAAGGTCATGTCAAATCAATATGTGTGTTGACAAACTTCAGATTGCTCCCTGCTAGATTTGCAGATAGGATACAAACCCTCCCAGATGGTGTTTGCTTGCTTGAATCTTGCCTGCATTGCTGCTCTCCCAGGAGAAACCAGCTCACTGACCAACTCTGAGCACTTAATTGAAATTTAAATTGCAGGTTTTTATACAAATGTCACTTATGAATATGTGCTATATCAGGAATACGATGAATGTGAATCATAGATTTTGTTTAGAATCATGCACAAAGTCCCACTTACATAGTACACCAAAATGGGTACATAAAGGTGGCCCTTTTATAATATAATATAGCCATTTTAGTTGATAATATAATTTCAAATAACAAATACTTTATTAACTGTTTTCTATTGTGATATATGTGCCACAATCAAACAATGCAGAGTATTAAAATACAGCAGTCAGTATTTTAATAAACAAAACACTCTGGTGCACATAGATACAGCATGTAAACTATAAAAGTGTAACAAGAACTGAAAAAGTAACGAGAACTGACAATATTCCTGTGGTGGCAAAGCTGTGTTTTCATCAGCCATTCCTCCAGTCTTTAGTGTCACATGATTCAAATATGCTGATTTAGTGCTTAAGAAACATTTCGTATCACTGGCAATGTCGAAAACAGTTGTGATGCTTCATAAATTTTATGGAAACTGACACATTTTTTTTTCAATATTCTTTGATAAATATAGAGTTCAAAGAACAGCATTTATTTAAAATATACATGTTGTAACACTTTTGATTAATTGAATGAGTCCTCGCTGAATAAACATTAATTAATTAACTAATTAAAAAAAACTATAGTCTATACAGTAATTCTGATTAAGGCATTGTTGGTTTGATAAAAGAGCCTATACTTTTGGAACCCAAATGATCATTCACTGTCTTTTTAGTTTTGAACTACAGCATGATGGATGGTTCAAACAGAAGAGGAAGACCCCACAGAGAATGGACTAATACCATCAGACAATGGCGTGGAGCAATCCCTCAGGATTTAAGCTGTTCTACATTAGACAAGAATTTATGGAAGATAATTGTCTATAAGGCATCAGGCGCCTACAGGCATAGCCCATGGTTGTTGTTGATGATTATGATGATGTTTTATACTCTAATTTCTTCCACATCTAGTATGCTAATGTATTAATCTTTGTAGGTTTCAGGGCATTCATAAGTTTACTCAACATAACAGACATTCAGCATGCCTAAACCTAAGCCACCTCAAAACTAGAGATATGCCTTGTGTTTTATTTATTTATTTATTTTAATGTGGAAACTTCTAACTTGACAACTCAAATCATTCATATGCATGTAATTTGGAATTACGATATCCCCAGCTCCACTTGAAGGTTGGTTATTGATATAACATATTGGTGCTGTAAGGAGCACACGATGACGGAGAAATACAAATAACAGTCTTTTAATAAACCCACAGAAGAATCACTGGAGAAACTTCGAGAAAATGCAGCACAACCAACATGAAACATTTGCAATTCAGGACAAAGGAACTCAGGAGAACACAGGGCTTAAATGAATGGAGACAAACTAGATAATCAATCAACACAGGTGAACAGAATGACAATCAAACAGACTGGGGAAAACTAGGTCGAAGGAAAACTAACACAGAAAACCACAGACATGTAACGATTGAAGACTCATATGGGGGGGAAAAATAATATATAGAGAGACCACGATATTAAATTCTATGCTTGTTAGCATTTGGCAGTTTTTAGCATATTTTTGCCTTTTCCTTATACAGTTATTTCTCATTAGAAATGTGGGGAAAAAACACCTTTGAGTCTCAGACAGATAAATGTAACTCAATAAGTGAAAAACAGATTGATTTCAATTATGCATATTGTTTCATAAAATATTAATGCACACTGCATATTTCAAATCAATTTGTTTTGCAGAAGTTTTCTTCTAAATATTGTCCCCAGTGCAAAGCGGCTTACAAAACAAAGACATTCTGATTAGCTAAAATTCATCAAATTTTCCTAAGGAATTAGCCGAGAAGAAGCTGAAACGATTGTTTGAGTACAATGACGTGAAACAACAATACTTCTAAACCGATCAACATACAGAGCTGAGCCTCAGGAAGTCAAATCCTCTTTTCTAAATGTTAAACACGTATTCTGAAGAGTGCCAAGGAAATATGATATACATTTTGTACAACACCTTTAAAAATGTGTTAAACTTAACAGCAGAGCTAGAGTCTGATAAAGAGAGCTGAAAATAAAGGATGTGTATCCCAAAAGCCTAATTGTCAAACTAGTGTGTAAGTAGTTTGAAATAATACTGGATATTATTCAAAAATTTTGGGGTCAGTAAGTTTATATATATATATATATATATATATATATATATATATA